CCCGCCCGGGATCCCCAAGGCGCCCCTGGTCCCCATGCCAGTGATGGAGACGCCCTTCGAACGGGTCGCCATGGACCTCGTGGGCCCGCTCCCGAAAAGCGCTGCAGGGTTTCAATACATTCTGGTTCTGGTAGACTATGCCTCTCGATTCCCGGAGGCCATCCCCCTGCGAAGTATTACCGCCCGGACTATCGCGGGGGAATTGCTGAAAATCTTTGCCCGAGTAGGGCTGCCTAGGGAGATCCTGACCGACCAGGGAACGAACTTCACTTCCCGACTGTTGCGGCAGGTCTGTGCCCTCTTAGGCATCAAACAACTCCGCACGTCCGTCTACCGCCCACAGACGGACGGGTTAGTGGTACGGTTTAACCGCACGCTTAAAGGCATGTTGCGGAAGTTCCCAGCAGAGGACCTCCGCCACTGGGACCAATTCTTTCCACCCTTGCTGCTAGCCATCCGAGAAGTCCCGCAGACCTCGACGAAATTTTCCCCATTCGGGCTGCTATATGGGCGCAGACCACGGGGCCTCCTAGACCTGATGAGAGAGACCTGGGAACAATCGGCCTCCCCAGCCCAGGGCCTCCTGAAATATGTCATCCAGTTACAGGAATACCTTGCCCAGGCCGGAGCCCTGGCACACGAAAATTTGAAGACGGCGCAGGAGCGGCAGGAACGGACCTATAATCAGGGAGCCCAAGTACGGGAGTTTCAACCAGGGAACCGGGTCCTACTCCTCCTCCCATCCAGTGAGTCAAAATTGCTAGCCCGGTGACAGGGGCCTTACGACGTCGTGCGCAAAGTGGGTCCTGTCACCTACGAGGTACGGCAACCAGACAAGCGTAAGGGGACCCAACGGTATCATGTAAACCTGCTGAAACGGTGGCAGGACCGGGAGGGCCTCCTAATTAACCCGTGCCCGCCCGAGCCGGAATTGGGACCCCGTGTACCCTCGACAGATGGCCCCCCGGCACCCCTGCTAGGAAAATCGCTCACTGAGGAGCAATGTAAACAGACCAACTGCCTTCTGCAGGCCTTCAAGAGGACATTCATGGCAGTACCGGGCTACACGTCCCTAGTCAAGCACTCGATCAAGACCGAGCCTGGGAAA